AGGGTCCACATAATAATACACATTCAGTCACATCCTTACTGACCGTCTTTTTGAAATAGGTTAGCATTACCTCACTGAAGAGTAGAAAACATATAAGCTAACACAGTACAGTTTGTGACCTGATGATAACCATCTGAGGTGTGAAGGAATTCCAGGGTGACATTGTGTGTATTGGCCCAAACGTGTGTTCTCATAAGGGATCACCTTTAAGCTGGGGCTCTAGTCATGGCTGACATAACTCTAATTAACAAGAAGAATTTCCCAGAGGCTCTGAGTGAGGCCTAGGACTTAGGCCCACTTTTTATTTTCCTTTGGTTTGTTTTTTGTTGTTGTTATTGTTGTTTCATGTTGTTTTCTTTTGCCTTAAAAATAACTACTATATAAATTTTCACTCATTAAAAATTATTTTAAAGATTTAAAGTGTAAAAGATATAGAAGGACATAAAAAAAGTAAAATTTCCCCCAATATCTTACTTACTGGAAGTAACTGCTTTTACCATTATTTTTTTTTTCTCATTAAATTTTTTAAGTGTCTCAAATTCTATGACATATTTTTAAAATTAATTAATTTATTTTAATTGGAGGATAATTACTTTACAACATTGCAGTGGTTTTTGTCATACATTGAAATGAATTAGCCATGGATTTACATGTATTCCCCATCCCGGTCCCCCCTCCCACCTCCCTCTCCACCCGATCCCTCTGGGTCTTCCCAGTGCACCAGGCCCGAGCACTTGTCTCATGCATCCAACCTGGGCTGGTGATCTGTTTCACCCTAGATAATATACATGTTTCGATGCTGTTCTCTCGAAACATCCCACCCTCGCCTTCTCCCACAGAGTCTATGACATATTTTTAATCAAGTTATTTCCATTAAAAAGTACTGATTTTAAAGACCAACGACTTAGAACAGGCACACACAAAATGAATGGTCCACAAAATATTCTCCTTTCCTTCTGAAGGTTTATCATGCCCAATTACCATTAACTAGTCTTTCGCTATTGAGCTTAAATGGCCAGTTGAGACAAAGAGTTCTGAGACCATTCTTCCACCACTGATTAAGGTGGCAGGTATTGAGGATGTTGTTCATTTAGCCTTCTGAGCTTTCTGGGCAGACTTGGTGACCTTGCCAGCTCCAGTTGCCTTCTTGTCTACTGCTTTGATGACACCCGTAGGAACCGTCTGTCTCATGTTGTGAACAGCAAAATGGCTCAGAGGAGGATAGAGAAGCTCTCAACACACGTGCGCTTGCCAGGAACCCTAGCAATGATGATAGCATCACCAGATTTCAAGCATTTGGGGCCATCTTCAGCTTTGTTCTAATTTTGTTCTTTTGATGTCTGCATAGTATTCCATTTTAACACTCAAGAATTTTAAGATTCTCTTCTATATTTTGTCTGGCTAAGGAGAAAAGGGTAGAGGTGTGAGAAACAGAACATAATATTGGGGATGGGGGAGAGGTATTCACATGCCTAAATGGATAGGGGAAGAGCAGAGTTCTTGAATAGTTTTAAAATAGTGCCACTAAATTTAAAAATAGGGCCACTAAATTTTAGCAGATGTAGACATCAATCGAACCAGTACTTTTGGTTACTGCTTTGTGGAGTAAATAAAATAAAGTTTTAGGTCTAAGCCATAAGCCAGCTCTTCCCAACACTTCTGTAACCAGAAACCATGCTTAATTTACTAAGTCTTTTGAGGATTTAAATAGCACATGGATAGAGCAAAATAGTGGATGCTATTTCAACTTTCAAAAAGTTTGGCAAGCTTTTAAACTCAAGGCTGTTTTTAAAAAATTGAGTCACCATGGAATTGGGGAGCAGTGTTTACTCCTGGCTCCTTATCCAAGACTTGGAGGTAAGAAACAAAAAAATAGAGCTGAAAGGGCATTTTTCTGAATGGTAGAAAATAGACAGTAGGGCCACAAGGGATCAGCTATGGGACTAATTTGACTTAATATTTATAAATGATTTGGAAGGAGGAGTACAGGGCAAAGTCACTAAGTTGGCAGATGTCTTTACACTGTTCCACTGAGGATAATAAACTTTAGAAGGACATTTGTTTTGTAGGAGTGGGCAGGCTTTGATAGGAACAAGTCCAGGGACATGTCTCTAGGGACACGTTCCTAAAGTTCATTTTAGAACTGCTTATCTCTTTACCTGTGAATCAGGTCTCTGCTTCAAGTATCAGCAGATATAAAGAAAAAGAAGATGGAGTTGGTGGTCATCAAGAGGGAGATGATATTTAAACAGACAGCATTATATACAAGCACACAAAATGAGGCTAGTGGGGAGCTGATTCTCACCAGATATATAAACAAAGAATTTCCCTTAAAGAAATGCATTACATTTCTTTAACACAGCCCCCAAAAGCAATTGGTATGTGGTGGGTGATCTGTATATTCACTGGAGAAGGACATGGCAACCCACTCCAGTATTCTTGCCTGGAGAATCCCTTAAACAGAGGAGCCTGGCGGGCTACAGTCTATGGGGTCACAAAGAGTCGGGTGCAACTGAAGTACTTCACACACACACACACTGTGTATTCACTAACTTTTAATGTTAGGTAAGCTAAATATGTTAGGCTACCATTTTTTTTTCCATTTATTTTTATTAGTTGGAGGCTAATTATTTTACAATATTGTAGTGGTTTTTGCCATACATTGCCATGAATCAGCCATGGATTTACATGTGTTCCCCATTTCGATCCCCCCCTCCCACCTCCCTCCCCATCCCATCCCTCTGGGTCTTCCCAGTGCACCAGCCCCGAGCACTTGTCTCATGATTCCAACCTGGCTACCATTTTAGAAGAAATGCATTCAAATGTTCTCTTCAACGTTCCCACAAGATATTTTCCTTCTCAGAAGATGACTTTTAATTATAAAAGTCAGACCTAGATTTCCTGACCTCCTGTGCTATCATGCATGGTAGCATCAAAGCATATCCTTAATATTGACAGAAGTATTATACTATAAGGAAGCATCTACTAGATCAGTATCTTCTGAAGTTGTGAAATTTTCAGTAATAAAGAGATAATGAGGTCTACCCTATCTCCTCACAGTGTGACTGAGAAGCTCAAATGAGCTGAGTGATACAAAACTGCTTTGTAAAATGCTGTGCAAAAATATAGTGGTGTTAATTATTCTTTGCATGTCATAATTTGGGATTAGAAGTACAAATTGATTAAATTCTAGGAACTTATCCTTAATAGATATTCATGAAATGTACAAAGATCACCATACAAGGATGTTCTTTGCAGCATTGTTTATATTAGCAAAATATTAGAAATATCTCACTTGTTTATCGGTAAGAGATTGGATAAATAATTTATGATCTAGCCATACAGAGGAATAAAAACTAAGCAGTTATTTATATTCTGACACAGAAATGTATTCAAGATACATGTTAAGTGATAAGCTGCAAATCAGCATAACTAGTACAATTCCAGTTTTGGTTAGACTTGCATGTTAGTATATGCCTGTGAAGGGCTTCCCATGTGGCTCAGTGGGTAAAGAATCTGCCTGCAATGCAGGAGATGAAGGCAGATGTGAGTTTGACTCATGTTGGTAAGATTCCCTGGAGGAGGGCGTGGCAACTCACTCCAGTATTCTTACCAGGAGAATAACATGGACAGAGGAGCCTGGCAGGCTACAGTCCATAGGGTCGCAAAGAATTGGACACGACTGATTGGCTGAGCACGCACGCATGCACGCATATGCATGTGGAAACCTCTAGAAGAATATATATCAAACTTAAAGATGATTCTCTGTTGGAAGGATAAGATGATGCAAGAACTTGTGCTGTATGCTTTATGTCTGTATATTTTAATTGTCTTCAATGAGCACTGTTATTTTTGTAATTAAAAACATGAGTAAAAAATATGAATTTGCCCTTAATTCAACTGCCCTATTGTAATTTTTTAAAAAGTGTATAAAGTAGGGGCAAAAGCCTTGCAAATTTTTCCATTTCTTTAAGAAAATATTCCATTATCAGGATGAGGAAAAAGCAAAAAAAAAAAAAAAAAGAGAGAGAGAGATCAAAACCTTTTCCCCCTTTGATAACAGTGTTCTGGTCTTTCTACATGAGAAAAGATAAAGGAGAAAATGAAGTCTGGTTCTTGTTTTTGTTTTGTGTTTGCCTTGTTTTGAAAGATGAGTAAATGTACAGAGATCTGGAACCATGAATCCAGCAAAGAAACCACCTCAGTAGTGAATTACTGTTCCAGTCGAAGTTGACAAAGCCCCACACTGAAAGACAGCATTGCCCAGGATTGTAAATATGCCCCATTCTCATGCTGGTGAGGATGTCCATAGATAGCTTGAAACTTCAATCTTGAAGCAAAAACCTATGTCTTATCCTGGGGGACCACGTTAAAACCTTCCCTTGAGCTGCTGGTCTGCCTCCCTGTGGAGAACAGAGATGGAAGCTGGCAGGCATAATTTATGCTGCAAATGGGTTGGGAAAGCCTTGTCAGGAGGAGCCGGGCTGCCCAGACCTGCAGGAAATGATGGGAGGAGGAAGTGGAGAAGGAGGAAGTGAAGAACATGCAAGAGTCTTTATCCTTCAGATGAATAGAAAGCACACTCAGAATGAATGACCCTGATGTGTGCTTATCCTTCAGATGAATAGAAAGCACACTCAGAATTAATGACCCTGACGTGTGCTTCCCTGGCCAAGACCTAGCCACCTGCCTTAGTGCTCTTCTGAACTCTACACTAGACGGAGGGCAAAATAAGGGCAGAGACCTTGTCTCTGTCTTGTTCATTGCTGTATCCCCAACACCGAGGAAAAAAGAAATGGTGAATTCATACTTGTTGACTTTTGAATGAATGTTCTCCTATACAAGTAGACTGTATCTGGAGTAGTCTATCTTGGTACCACGCAGTCCTGGAAGGCTAAAGGCAGCTTGTAGTCAGCTCGACCATGTGCCAAATACAGTCAACTTGCACTTTGCTTGGAACTCTCTTGTGACAAACCTTTTCTTTACCTTCATATTTCCAGATACAGCCAAAAGGCAGCGAGGAATGGAATGAAAAATCAGTTCAACCTCCATGAGCTGAAAATGAAGGGTCCTGAGCCAGTGGTCAGTCAGATTATTGACAAACTGAAGCACATTAACCAGGTATGTGTGTATCCAGCAAAAACAGAAATGGCAAAAAATTGAGCAACGGGTGATGTTGAGTGTTCAAACTGTATTCTTGGGCTTTGGGAAGGGCAGCCATGTTCATGTTCTTCAGAGTCTCTCCGCTAAAAAGGACTTCTGACCTTTGTTTTTCACCCCACTTTTAAGTTATAAAAAAAATATTGCAACATAAGAGAAAGCTTGGAAAACAGCAGGAAAAGTGTTTGTCTCAACCCCACTAGTCCATCCTGTTTTCATTTTTATGTGTTCTTTTTTAATATTTGATCAGAAAATCACACATAGACTTTTTACATAATTGGAAGTATATTAGTTATTTCTGCATCTTAAAATTAACACTGTATTGGAAACACTTTTTCATGTTGCCACAAATCTGCATACTAATCATTTTTTATGGCCCTTAAAGATTCCTTTGAGTGTTAATTATAATTCATTTGCTTTTGCTATGCATTCAAAGTGCTTCACATTTTTACCATTAAATAAAGTGACCTCCTGCATAGTGCTATCTCCTGATCTTAGATCAATTTCTTAACATACTGGAGTTATGGGGTTAAAGGATATGAGCATTTTACTGCATGTTTCCAAACTGCTGGCCAATGGGGATGTGACAGCTTTCACTGCCACCAGCAAGATACGAGAGGACCAGCTTCACTGCGCTCATGCCAACTTCTGAGTCACTGCCATCCGTGCGCAGAGCATCCACAGATTCCCCTGACTTGTACACAGTTTTTCTTCTCAGGAGTTTAGTAACTGAGACACAAATAGGAGTTAGTTGTACCATCTGCTTGTGATTGCTTTGTGGCCACAGTTTTAAAAATGCCATAAAAAATGCCACCAGATACCAGAGTGGCAGTGTTCCTACCCTATGGTCCATGGGTGGGAGGGACCTGGCACCACCGACTTCTATTCGTAGCTGAGGAAGGACTTAATGAAATTCAACTCCTTCTGCAAGGACAGAAGTTTCTGTAGGATGACATCGGCATGATTTTGTCTTTTCCTGTGAAGTTTAGCAGTGAAATCTTTATGGTTTTTAGGAAAAATGTTTGGAAGGGCTTCCTAATAGTGACGTATTTCATGGCGAGTGGCATTATGAAAGTATTTATTACACTTTTGAGTGAGATTCCTCCAGAGCCTAATAAAGTGCTCTGCTCTCTATGAGCACTTAATAAATAGTTGTTACTGCTTCTGAGCACAGAATAGTGGCAGTATTTGCATAACAGATCCTTCTTTTTGGTGAACTCACAACCTTACTAAGTTCTATAAAGCCTGGTTACATACAGGATGTTTCAAAACACATCTCTGAAGAACTCAGAGCACAGCGTAAATCTCCCATTGCTGATGATGTGCTTTACCTGGGGGCAATGGCAGTGTTTCTTTGAATTATTTCTAAATTATCTCAAACCAAATGTGTCTGGGTGACTCTACTCGACTGGTTAGATCCAAGCACTGGTGAGGCCAGAAACTCAGGGTCCATCTCTGTGCCCCTCATTTTAAATGAAAAATAGTGTCAACAGATATCTTTGGTCACCAGACGTGAAAGAATACCTCCTATGTGCTCAGCCAGGTGCCAGGGAGTTTGAGGATTCAAAAGGAGTCTGGCCTATTTTCATGCCTTCCTTAGAGGAGAAACACAAGCATGTTTAAATACAAAGAAGAGGCAGCCAGTAATGAAGACGAGCTAGACAGTTATGTTGCTCATCAGTTTGGGGCTGGTTTGCTTAGGCCTGAGGTGGACTGGGCTACTGTGAGAAGGGTTTCGTAAGAAATATCAGAGAAAGACCTGTGGATGGAGCCCCACCCTATAAAAAGGGAAAGCTGCATCAGAGCATATGATCTGGCAGTCACTAAAAGTGACTATTTATAGCAAGCCCCTCAGTAAAGACTTTGGGTGTTTGATATTAATGCTCTGGGAGACCATGTCATATAGTGAATAGAACATGGGCTTTGAATCCATATGGATCCCAATTCAACTGTGAGTCTTAATAGATATATAACTTTGGGCAAGTCATTCAACCTCTCTGAGCTTTAGTTTTCTCATCTGTAGTATTTAGAGTTAGCAAAATAGTCCCTTACAAGTTTATTATGAGTACAAGAAATTATATCTATGTATCTATGGCTATTCATATCCCATTATATAAAATTTATGTATAATTATGCATTTTACATATATGCATATATATACACACATATACACACACAAATATGTAATTGCATGTTCATGACACAGTTAAGGTGATTGTTATAGTCAGGATTTCCTCTGTAGTCAGGACTTGAGTGAGTCTGAAAGAGAGCAGTATTCCAATGCTTTTTCCCAGTCTAATTCTGCCACCCAAATTTTGGGTGGATCAAAGAGATCCCTTTGATACATCTTTCTCTCCCATGTTGTTTCCTTCTTTCTCATCATTCTAACTTTCAGCCACAAAAGGTGAAGCCTCTTCATAGGTAGGGAGGTGTATATTGTCAGTGTCGGAAAAGTCACCATTATAATTACTTTCTCCTACCTTTGCCATGGACATGTGTGTGGACATTTTTGGTTCCCTTATAAATACCATTGAGCAACCAATTAATTCTCATTGATAGACCAGTTTTACCTGTTTAAGTTGAGCTGTTAAAATTGGTTGGGCTCCAAACACCCACGCTGGTTTTTTCTTGTCTCATCTGTATTGCTTTACATGGCCAAAACATATCTTCTTTCAGACCTTCAGTAAAATTCATATTTTGGCCATGGTTCAATCTGAAAGTGAGACACTTTAGGGAAGTCATAATGAAGAATGGGATGATGATGATAATGTGTTGTATTTGTATAACATTGAACCATATTTCAAAGTGCTTTTATGTCCTGAAAGTCTAACTGCTCATATTGGAAAAAAAATATCCAGCCTGGAATTGTATGAGATATAGTACTGTCAAAGAATCATTCTTTTCAGGAACTCATTGTTACCCTTGGGTATTATTTCATCGTCACTGCCTCCTGGGAGGTAAGTGATAATGTTTGTCCCTTTTTTATAGCTAGGGAAACTGAGGCAGAAAGCCATTAAGGGCTGTGTGGGCATGCTGCCAAAACATCCAGTAAGTTCAGTTGAAAATTCGACCAATCATCCAGATGTTGTTTCCTACTCACTGCCAAACATCTGGATTCACTGAATGCCTGGCTCCGTTGACCTAAAGTTTTAGTGATGAGGAGGTAGAATCAAGTTAACTTGCCTCAGTTCACATGTAAGTGAGTGGAGAATCCAGGAGTATAATGTTATTTTCCTAAGCTCCTCGCTTGGTGCTGCAACTATTAAACTACAGTCGGATGTCCCAACACAGGCAACTGTAAGTACAGAGCCTCTTCTGTCTATGCATGCATGCCCATGTATGTCCATCCAGGTGGACTGTGGCTAGGCCATTTATGAGCACGTCCCCAGAGACCTCTTCACTTTCTTCCATGGAAATTCTCAGCTGCCTCCTTTCAAGTTATGGTTGCTGTTGATAGGATTTGAAATAATATATTCACTGAGGGAATAATGTAACATTATTTCCATATTGACAGTACCACGATGTAACCTGGAGGGGACGTGTTCAGGGTCAGGCCCGGGGCCCCTTTCCTGGGAAGGCCTGCAGGTGTGGAATGTCCTCCCCTCCTCCTTCCAAACCAGAGTTCTTGTGTAACATTCCCACGATTGGAAATGAGGACCCTTTTATTTCCTTCTCAGTTTCTAATTTGTGTGTGAGGATTTATTGTCTTGTGTTAGGAGAGGAATTGAACTCTTAAGTCCTCAATGTCAGTCCTGGACTTTGCTGGGCCATGTTGCTTTAAAAAAAATTGTGTTTTTCTTAATATCCTGCTCAAGCCTCCTGCATGGAGAGAAGACCCCACAAATACCAAGAATGATCATGATACACTCTTACCCACAGGCCACTGTGGCCTATGTGTCCTCTGACTCAGTTTGTTGGTAACAGTTTCTCTCTAAGAGTCGCTGTGTAGTTAGAGACCTTAAACTACTACAGAAGCTATTGTTTCCAAGAAAAACCTAGCTGTTTATTATTTTCCCTCAGTTTCAGTTCGGGTTCAAATGAAATTCCAGAAATTGTTTTCCTGCCTGTTGGAAACAGTTGAAGCCAGAGCAGTCAATACCTGCTCATTTGGTGTCAGAGCTTTTCATTCAAAGTTGGATACTCTCATCTGTTTGGGATGGTTGAAATGTCCTGCTGAATGGTGGGGGTGTGGACGAGGTGGCCTCTTAAGATTCCTTCCAGCCGTGTGATTAAGTGATTTGTGGCTCAAGGTCAGGCTTTAACCCAGCACCCTCTTGTGAACAAGTCTTGTGACTTTATTCTCTGCCCTGCCACTCTTTTTTAAACACTCTGTTCCCAAGTCACCCCTTTCTACTTTGTAACCTCTCATCTTTTCAGAGATTCCTCCCTTCCCACCAGTCTTCCAGCCTGGGCAGATGGAACTTAAACTTGCCCTTCCCCCTACCCAATTCCTCTGTTCTCCTGCCTTGTTCTCATGAGGCCATGAAAACATTAAACTACAAAAACACTTTTGCATTTATCACCCTCCTCCAGAACCATATAGGTGATCTGTCTTCAGATCTTGTTAGCCATGTGACTCCATATGAATGATAATAATTCTACCATCAATTTGCACAGCACAATTCAATATGTAAAGCTCTTTCATGAACATTACCTAAATTGATCTTCACAATGACTCAGAGAAGCAGACATTATTACCTAGATTTACTAGATGAAGAACCTATGGGCACTGGATGTCTAAGGGACCTTCATATAGTAAGTGGTCAAACTAGACCTAGAATCAAGGGGGACTGATTTCAGTCTCTGTGCTCTTTCCTTCTATGTCTTTGAAGACACAGCATGCCTTGCTATGGTTAGCATGATCCATATATAAATGATGTGCAGAAAGAAGTACAAATAGCAGAAACTCCTTAATTTGTCTAACGATTTCCAAGTCCCTAATGTAGTAATGTCTATGGTCTGAAGCTCTAAAATAGGCAGCAAAGAAAAAATAAGCATGCTGTTTACCAAGCGTCCACTGGGAAGAATCTTAGAAAACTGGCCACAGTTGTGTATGGTGTGGAAACTAAGGCACTTTGTGACATAGACAGCAGACAAACTTTCTATTAGCTATCTCTAACTCATAAAATGATTTTAAATGGCCAAAGAAAATTTTAAATGTAGAGCAGACAGTGGAATGTCTCCACTTCCATCCCCCTTCATAAATACCTGAAAAGTATTTTTAAGATGCCTAACAGATTATTTTGGTATCGTGAAAAGACACTAACTTTGAAATAGAAAGTTGCAGCTTTAATAAATTAATAAAGTTGTTACATGTCAGAAAAGTACCCAAGGCATACCTTAGCATGTTGGTGGGAATGCAAATTAGTACAGCCACTATGGAAAACAGTGTGGAGATTTCTTAAAAAGCTGGAAATAGAACTGCCATATGACCCAGCAATCCCACTTCTGGGCATACACACCAAGGAAACCAGATCTGAAAGAGACACGTGCACCCCAATGTTCATCACAGCACTGTTTATAATAGCCAGGACATGGAAGTAAGTTTTAAAAATCTTTAAATGAATCTCAAGCATGATCAAAAATTCTTTGAGTAACTTTTTTCATAGTCTTCTCACAATAAAACCAGTGAGAGTCATAAAATGCTGGCCTATTCCAATGGTTGCTAGAAAAGCTAACACTGATCTAAAATTTCTAAACCAAAGGAGAAACCTTTTGAGAGTCAAATTTAAATAAAAGGCCTTTCCAAATGAAATTATGTCCCAGTGTTTCTCACACTTCTTCACATACATATAGTGTAGCAGAACTCTAATAATTGCCATTTCCATATGGAGTCAGAATGTGTGTGTGTGTGTGTGTGTGTGTGTGTGTGTGTGTGAAAGACAGAGTATCTACAATGGCATGTTAACAACAGCCAATGAATGACTTCTGAGTTATAAAAGAATAATGTGAGTTGGTCTTCAAATACCGGACCTAGACTTTGTGGAGCTAAACATGATTTCATGAAGTAAAAGGGAATTAGCTGATGCATTCCAAAACACATTTATCATTAAAAAATCTTCTGTCATTTTGCTTAATAGCTTGAAAAATAATTACAGTGTCTGGTGGCTTTGGGGAGTATGTGTTTTTAATATCTTAATTACTATGTACAGTTTAATAACACTGCACCAAGATGAATTCCCAAGTATTTCATATTAAATTTCTTGAAAATGAACTATTTGCTTTTTTTAGAAGATACAGGATTAAAGGTACTTAAATTGGGTCATGTATTTTAATCTTTGCACATTAAGTTAAATTATTCAAAAACAGATGATAAGTCAAGAGTGGTAAGCCAAAATGTTGTTGATAGCAGTCTTGTGGTGATTGTGACTTAGCAGTGAAAGGAAATACATGATCTTTTTTCATTGCAATATTATACTCTTGTAAGGTTTTTTTTAGTACGAAGTATTGAAAGTGTTAGCTATGGAAAGACAAGTTCTGCATATGAAAAGGAAATTCTGTCGAACTATAAAGGCTATTGGGTTTACAAAGTTAGAAATATATTTCCGAAATATCTATGAAATCCACAGAGTCTCTTATTTACATCTACCTGCTGGCCAAATACAACACAGCAAAAATAAATGCTTACAAATGATTGCTCTCTACCCCCGTAAACCTGTATTATAAGCAGTATATTGGTGTATGTATGTTCAAATACTATTTGGAAATTCAGAGACAACTTTTATACTGATATATTTATGAATATATATGTATCCTGCCTCTGGATTGTCAGCTCCTTAAGTCTGAGATCATGCATACAACTCTGTTTTCTATAACACCTAACATAGTGGCATATACAGAATAGACCCTCATATACAGTATTTTATAGATCAGTTCATTCAAAGAAGTTAATCTTTGTTGCCCTAAATTTATTTCTGAACTTTGATTTAATTTGAGGTACTTTTCACATTCAATATTAACCAGTTTTTGTGCTAAAGAAGAGGGTTATGTAAGTACACTGTTATAGTTTGCAGGGATGTTTTGGTCATAAGGGTCCAGCCCTTTGATTTTATAGACGAAGAAATGAAAACCTAGAGGGAGAAATGACTTGTCCAAAGTCACACTGCTAGTAAATGACAAAGCTGGGCCTAGGGAACAAACAGATTGATAGTTTGCAGTGCCTTTGCTCTGCTTCCAAAGGCCCTTGTGTAATGCAAAACATGCTTGTAAACACGCAAGCACATTTTCTTACACAGAACTCCCAACCACAGCAGAAGCCCCTACTGAAGCAGTTCATCTTTGGAACAAAAATGGGCATAACAAGAGACAGGAACTTGCTAATTATTTATCTCTTGTCATATCTATTAACTAGTGTTTGGTCATAACAAGTACACTTCAGTGCCTCCTGCCTCATTAAACCCAGTGAGCAATGGTTGCACGTGGGTAGGGGCCAGGGCAGGGGCCTCTCTGCTGGGCTCACTGGACCCAAACCGGGCAGAGTCAGCAGGACCTTTTGCTCGTGGTTTTATGCCCACTCACACATTCTGACTTGGGCTCCTGTCCACATTCAGGATTAGTCATTAGTCATCCTTTCACTCTCATGCTCGTGTCTCAACTCCTCCACCTTCCTGGGTACCCTATAATGATTTATCCAGTGCTTCTCCCTCCTTCCAGAATGGCAGAATTAGCATCATATTAGTCAGTGGGCTTATGTGCCAGTTGTTAAGGCAGTGTGTTCAGATTCTGTTCCACGGGGAGTAGAGATGTGGGAGACGTGCTGTGGCGGTTATTCTGCGTCCCCCATTCCTATTTTAACCAGAGTGTGTCTAAAATCTGCTTTACATATGGGTCTTCTAAATAAGATTTCACTTAAACAAAGGGCTTCAACTGCTAAAACTTTATATAAAAAGTCTCAGAGTGCCCTTGAAGCTAATATTAAAGGTTTAATCCCATATGGAGCCATTTCTTCATATGAGCA